CTACAGTATATATATATATACAGTTCTTCCTTCTTCCTGCAGCTGTCAGCTTTGTCACTATACAGTAGCAGTGCTGCAAAATCAGAAAGGAAGACATCACAATACTTGCAGAGATCATAGGAGCAGGGGTTTGCAGCAAAGGCCCAGGACCCTCCACAGGGCCAAGTCACAGAGGCAACTCTTTTTATATATTCCTTATTTGAATTTCAAAGAAGAAAGATTTCAAGTAAGACATGCAAAATGTGAACACTTGGTTTGTAGGTTAGAGTTATCATTTTGTAATGTGTTCTCTCTGTAGTTGGCAGTCAGTGACGAAATTTGCAGAGAACAGTAAGAGGATGCAGAGTATACATCAAAAGAAATGTACACTAAAGGCTCCTCCAGAAGACCTCTGCAACGAGGACAGAACGCTGTTTACTTGTCCAGGCCGCATCAACATTAAAAAAATTAATGTCCTGCCACATACATTTTTTTTGTTCCAGATGCTCCTGATCAAAATACCTATCCTGTTTTTTCGGCAGTGGGAGGGTACACTATTGAGCTTCATTTTGGGGACTCTGTCTGCCTCGGTTGGCATTCAGGGTTCTCTGGCGAACTTAAATGGAGGCTTGGTTTTCCCACATGTCTATTTATACTATAAAGCTATGGCCCAACAGAGAATACTAGCCTGGCATTTTCAAGTCAAAAACAAGCTATGTGTTGCTATGGAGAAGTGTATGGCTGTAAGGAAGCTTGCTCACGCTCTGTGGCTCTCTCCAGAGTTCAGAAAACTGGCCCCTACAACTTTATCCCTAAGAACACATACATTACATATGTTTTCCATGCTTCCTGGGAGGACTATGAAGTTGAGGCAATTTTGGACTGCAGGAAGAGAAGGGGTCATTTAAAGTACCTGATCAAATGGGAGGGTTATGACCTTGAGGAAAATTCCTGGGAACTGGTATCCAATGTGCATGCTCCAAGGTAGGTGCAAAAGCTTTTTCCGGATCATCCTGAAAAAGTCTTCCAGATGGGCATTTGGAGGCTGCCCATTGGGGGCAGGGGATATATAAGAAAAGTCAAGTACATACTGCCAAACATGCAATAGTGTGCAGGCGCGCACAGATGTATGCAGTACAGAACATGCGTGGAAACACAAACTCATGAAAGAAGACGTGCATGGACCAACAGGGTGGCGCACAAGAAGTTGCATAGGAAATGCACTTATGGGCTGGCCTATATAAAGAAGCTTGTAATGTGCACAGGCTGCTGGAAGATCTTCAGCTTGTTCCTGTTTCCCTGTGATCTAATCTGTCTGCTTGATTCCTGCACCTGATACGGCTTGTTTCCTGACCACTACTTTCACATGCTGCCTGCCACTGAGACCTCGGCCTGTTTACTGGATTGCCTTCTGCCTGGTACCTTGCTGATCTGCTGCTCTCGACCTTGGCATGTGACCTGACCCCGACATCTATCCTGGACTTCGTTGCCCGGCTGGCTTTGACCTCCGACTATATCTTCGACTTGCTTCTTTCTCCTGGTCCAGTCTGATCCCCAGGGTTCCTGGACTCACACAGTGCAGTCTGCTTCATCTGCACTCGTGCAACTCTGTATCCACACACTCCCTGTCCCCACTTCCAAGGGGTGTTGGACAAGAGGCGCAAAGGCAGCCCCCTCATCCATTCGGTCTCTGCTCAGGTACGTGACAGAGGTACTCACACCTTCTCTGTCAGCACCACAACCCAGGACACTCACTTCAAGTATTAACACTGTGGTACAGGGTTTCTTCCCTGATTGGTTAAGCTATACCCAGTGGTATCCCCCTAGTGTTGAAGGGGCTGCGTGTTAGAGGGTACATATTTGGTGTGGGATTGTCCGAGTCTTTGCCCATTCTGGCAAAATATTAGGGATCAACTCAAGGTCATTCCTTCCTGTTCCATATTGTACCCATGTCACTGACCCAATCCGACTCCATCCCTGATTTACTCAATGCTAAGACCAAGCAACTAATTCAGATATAATTGGTGTAGTTATTGTGGTTTTACCTTAAAATGTTCTCTGTCGTCTAACCTGTTCATTTACCTGTGTTTTTCCTGTTGCTTTTTTTGCTCTTTGTGCCTATTTGATGTGTATTTCTCTTTGTATTGTTAATGTTTATGAATAAATAAAGATTACCAAAAAAATTAAAAGTAAACACTTTGATAATGTAAAATAATTAAAAATATATATTTACTTATACCACGGAAGAGTTCCTCAACATTGATGGCATTCTTTGCACTAGTTTCAACAACAATTGCCTCAATGGAATCTGCATATTCCTTGGCATCTTTCATTGATACTTCCCTGAAAATAAAGACAGACACAAGCCACTGAATTTGTCAGGTTCACATAACAGTTTGTGGAGAGCTTATATCTATTCAAATTACTTTTCCAACCGTTGTTTGAATTTAAAGGAAACCTATAGAAGTTTGAAGACTGCCATTGCTAACCCATCCCTTTCAAATGCTACATGGCTGTCTCTCATACGGATACAGTAGCTTCAGTACTTTCAGAGCCAATGAACAAAAAAAAATATATATATATGCACTTTTGGAGATCGGCCTTTACTTGCTGTATATTTGTTGAAAGTCAGTGATTTAGAAAGTCTTGAAGTTTTTGGATCAACATGCTAGCCAGGCAATTAGCTTTTTCACGAGTTGGTCAACATTGGCAGTCCTGATTATTTTTCTAAGCAAAGGCTTCCTTTTTTTTTTATGGGTTGGATAGTGGAGAAGGATTAGAGCCCTTGTTGGGTTTTTCACTGCTATCTGGGCCTCCGTTAGAAGAACCGTAATAATACTATTTCTATATTTCTTTTCTCCATGGGTCCTCAAATGCTGATCAGATTGGTGTTGGGATCTTTGAAGAGAAGGATTTGTCAGGTATGACTATAAACCCTGGGTGAATAGGTGTGTCTTCAGCCTGCTGTTAAAAACATTCAGAGAGGGTGCTTCCTGGACAATACTAGTTATTGGAATGAATTGGACTAATGAAGAGGGGTCTAGGGTTCCATTTGGATTTAAATCAGAATGCAACTCCCCCGCCCTACATAATTGTTCCAGTGTAGTGACTCATAATGTATTAAAGCCACTGTGGGTCAGCAAGACAGCCAGGGGACTACAATTGTTAGACGATAAGGTCAGCAATAGCAGCTTATTTTCTCTGTAACTCTACCTTTTAAAAATTCAGCATCATCAGACTGGTCTTTAAATCTATAAGTTTTCAAGCCAGAGACAGCCAGGCAACTATTCTTCCTAGAAGGCAGTCAGCAATGGCAGCCCTCCCCCACCCTTTTTATCTCAGTACAGGTCACTTTTAGGTAGCTATAGCAGATGCAAGTCATATAAATATACATTTCTTTAAAGTATACTTAAAGCCAAAACTGTTTTTTTTTTATACAGTATGGGATGGTTAGAACCCATGTCATATTTTTTTTACTGTCTGGCTCATTGGTGAGATTTTCTTTTGGTGAGATTTTCACCAGAACAGGCGTCCCCATAGGAATATTTTGGATTTCCCATCACTTTCTGTCCAGTGACTATGGTCACAAGACAAGAGAGGGTAAATTTGCCCACCGGGAGACAGATATCAATAAAGACATGATGGGAGTTTTAATTTGTCCACAATCTAACCAAAACAAAAATTGCACATAAAATACAGAATTTTAGGGTATTTGAATACAAATAAATAATTTGTGTTTTTCAGCTGAGTGACAACTTGTTGAGATAATGTCCTCATTTACAAGATCACTTTATATCAGTATCACTTCAAGTGCTAATAAATTTGAGTTTACAGATACTGTGAAAACAAATAGAGAGCTGCAGGTGGAGTGCTTAGAAAAAAAAAGTCTCTATACAAAGACGAAGAGCTCATTACTAAAAGCTGTTCAAAGCTGCCTCTATCTTCAGCGTCACTTTGACAGGCTTGTTTGGTTCATATGGATATTAACTTCACATGGCTTATGTAAGTGGGTATTATGAAAGGATACTTGTGAAAGTAGAGGATGCAACTGTAAAGTATTGCAGGAAATTGCACTCCATAAACTGAAAAACAAGGAGCGATTTTATTAATAGGGCTACACCTTAAATACACAGCTAAATGTGATGTCAAATTAAATCTTTGTGGGCATGCAAGGCAGAGTGACAGTGTCTCTGCAAAGGCACCCCCACCTTCCTCTGTCACCTGCAGCACTGAAATGATTGATGTCGGTGATCTGAAGAGAGCAATGATGTGAAGGTGAGGTGATGTAAACCGTAACAGAATGACATAGTTTGTTAAAGCATGAGTAATAAACAATTGTTGTGCTCCTGTTTTAAAAAAAAAAAAAATACTCCTGTCTGTGTAACTTCCTGTTTCCGTTTAGTGTATCACCAATAAAATTCAAACCTCCTAGGCATGTTTAAATCTCATTTGTGGTTTGATAAACTTCTCACCTTGTTACATAACACTTTATGCATGAAGGACACCGCAAAAGCATGCAGTGGGCATATTTTGGCATATTACAGGGTACTGCAACTATGCTTGGATGAAAAACTAAAGCACTGAGATGGTTAGCTGTTCTCCCTCTACTGTTTAAAGTGATAATGCAAAAGGTTTTTAAGCCATTTCAAATGTTGATTAAATAACTTACAATGGATGCTTCTCCCTGATGTGTAAAAGTTTTAGCTTCTTGCATTATCAGCTGGTCTCCTGAGCACAGATCCTGATATCATATTTTAGGATGGCTCTTTTCCCTTGTTAGGGTCCTGTGTGTGTCTCTACAAAAACTCTCCTGCTTCCTGCTCTCTGCTCCTCACTCCTCCATTCTCCCTTCTCCAAACTAGAAGATGGATAGTTGTTGGAGACTGCCCAGTCCCATGTGATATACTCAATAGGAAGTTCAGGGAAACAGAGCTGAAAGAGTTGGTACCAGTTGTTTGGAAACACTATCACGGTAAGTGCTTGGGCAATGATTTAAAGAAATACTTTGCTGGGCAGTGTATATTTGTTTGATCTAGACTTATTATTGAAAAAAGATTTGAGAGTTTAATACTACCTTAAAGCATATGTGAGAGCAAAATAAAATAAAAAAAACATATGCAGTACTACCCTGCAATACATACACATTTCCCCATATTTTATACCTTTAAGGACAATGCAATTACAGAAAAATGCCTCCTGATCCTAGTAGAAATGCAATCAGCTCCCAATAATGGGAAGGTGTTCTGTAGTCTAATGTGATAACCTGTAAGAGCTGATTAAACTGCTTGAGATAAGAATGCAGCGTACACAATAAGACAAAATAACTCTGGATTTCTAACAGGGCCAACAGGTATTTTTTTTCACTTATTGAATAAATGTAAACATGCCTTCAATGGTATAGTTCAATGGTATAGTTAAAGTAGTAATGAACTCTCAAACTTTTTGAATCCAGCTCAAACAAATATGCATTGCCCAGCAAAGTATTGCTTTACATTTTTGCTCAAATACTTACAATCATCATGTTTCTGAACAGCTGCTTCCAAGTCTCTCAGCTCAGCTCCCCTGTCCAGAACAACATCACAAAGGACAGTGCAGACTCCAGCAACTGTTCATCTACTAGCTTGGAGGAGAGGGGGGAGGAAAATAGCTTGATTTGCGGTGTCTGTGTGTTTGTGGAGAGACACACAGCTTACTAGCACACACAAGGGTGACTGCATAGCGCTCTGCTTGAGAAAGGAGTCACTCTAAAACAGGAAGTCAAGACCAGTGCTCAGGGGACCAGCTGATTCTGCAGTAAACTAAAGCTTTTAAACATCAAGGAGCAGCATCCATTGTAAGTGATTTCATCAGCATTTGAAATTGCTTAAATCTTTTTGACTTTAATATCACTTTAACAGACCGAACGGGAGAAAATAAGAGAAGTTCACTGTTAGGGTTTACATACACTTTATATTTTAATTTGGAATGAAGTATACTACAAGCATAATTCCTAGTAAAAACTCAAACAATTTCAGATGATCTTCTTCCAAATCAGAGAAACCCCAACAGAGCATCATTTGTACAAATGCAACTATACAGGGTTTTTGGTTTACTGAAAATGAAGCGTTATACAAGTTTTTAGGGGAAACACTTTACAATGGTGAGCCTAATCATTTGAAAAATTGTTCAAGGTTCACCTACTCTTTAACCACTTGAAGACCAGGTGTTTAGATCCCCTAACTGGCCAGGCCATTTTTCAGTGTTCAGCGCTGCAGTACTTTGACTGACATTTATTCCGTCACGCAACGCTGTACTGAAATGAATTTTATACAATTTTTTGGGGACAGATAGAGCTTTATTTTGGTGGTATTTAATCTGGGGGGCGCACGTCTCGGGGCTTCATACAAGCGATCCGCCGGCTCTATAGCCGGCGGATCGCTTGTATATTAACGGGCATCGCTGCCTGTTTTCAAACAGCGCGTGCCCAGTTACACGCCCAGTTACATCCAAGAAGCTCCCGGCAGGCCGTGTATACACAGCGGCTGGCCGGGAGGTAGTTAAAGCCTTGCTTTGCCCTTAGTTAATGTTGAAGTACATATGTAACAGATAGATAGATAGATAGATAGATAGATAGATAGATAGATAGATAGATAGATAGATAGATAGATAGATAGATAGATAGATAGATAAATGAATTTCTACCTGATGTCAGAGAGATCACATTTGTTTCCGGCGATAGCCATGACAATGTTCTCTGGACCGTGTTCTTTCAGCTCCTTCACCCATTTCTTCAGTGTATGGAACGAGTCCTGTGTACAGATTAGAGCATTACACGTACACTTCCCTCATGTTTGATGGCTGCTCAAAATATGCACCGTATGCCTTAAATCTTGTATGTGTTATTGCATACTAAAACAAAGACTGTCAGTACTTAAACATGTGTTCTTCAAAGTGATTCTTACATAAAACTTTCAAAATCTGTATGTTATTTCGTATAATTGAAGCCACTGGTTGGTCACCTACTGGCACTATCTTGTGAAATAATTCATACAACTCTAAAATAAAACATAACTGTTCTATTTTTAACTTCTGCAGTAAAACTACTTTTAGCCTAGACTGGACAAGGATTTCCAGAATCATTGGAGCCTATCAGTGCATAAGAAACCTATTTTGACTGTATTCAACAACATGCCAGATAACTGTTTTGCCAGCACCATTTGAATTCTTGCACTTCATAGCTTTACAGGGGAAATAGTGTTTTCTTAAAACTTTCCCAGTTGTCCGAACTTAAGCTGACTTTAGACTAATAGATTTCTTTCATTCAGCCTGAGGGCTGAACAAATAAAATCTAACGGATTCTTCCATCCACGCTTAACAGTGTGGCTGAACAAATCTCCCACTGCATCTATTGTAATTCTGACAACCAGCGCCTTCTGCTGTCGATATACATTAACAATGACTGCAACCGATTGGTAATACTCACCTTCCTCCCTGATCCGATGATTTGTCCTTTAACATGGTCTTGGCCAGTCCCTCTTCATAGTACACATGCCTGTGTGATGGGGCCCCAGAGCAAAAAGACCACCCTCCATGTCAAAGGCAATACCTCTAGTGATTCATCATACTATTTGCTTCTGTAACAATCTTATAGTCATAAACTACACATACATTCAATCTAGCTCTTGCTACCTAAAGAAATTACTATGCTTAGTACCCAATGATGCTGGGTCCTATAGCAAATGTATGGTTTGCTATGGATTTAGGTACAATGAATCTTACCTGCTTTGTAATATCATATACAATAACAGCAGCAGCTGAGCCTCGGTAGTACATTGGTGCCAGTGAATGGAACTATAAAAACAACAAATATCACGGAGTTACATAATACAAACCCAATTGTTTTAGAAGGAAATAGCCTATCCACATTCATTGTAACAGCCAACCTCCTACCAGCCTAATATTTTTTTCAGTATCCTAGATCTAACAATGTATTTGGGCTTGCTGTGCTTATATGCCTTGAAGAAATGGGTTTCAGCTCATATAAGAACATTGGGCCTGATAAACTGGTGGTTGTAGAGGAATTTGAAGTGTTGCATGGCACATCTGATTTTGGTGCATTGCATTTTACACAACTATTATGTTGCAGGGAGTAAAGTTTATCAGGTATGTAAACCATGATCCTGACTGTTCTGCACCATCATCCTTTTGAAGCAATACTGCATACCTGCGCCAAATATTGACAAACTCGTTTTCTAAAAAATGATTTACTGCAGATTATGCAACTTTTGCACAGCGTTTAAAGGAGAACTACGAGGTTACTGTCCACCCAGCTGCGTGAGTGACAGCTCAGCGCTGGAGGATCGGCCGGGAGGGGGGGAATCCCTGCAGGGCGCCGTGAGTGACAGTCTCGGCTCTCTGCACGGATAGATCGAGAACTGAGTGAGCGCCGGTATGTGTTTGCTCACTTCCCGATCTACTGAGCCGACTTGTGACAGTTTCATTGTCTCGGGTCGGCTCAGATTATGAGGCTTTAACATACATTGGGAACACTATTTGCATTTTCCCATTTAAACCTGTCAAAACTTGAACAATTATTCAGGACATTCCATAAATCAGTGTTTCATGCAGCAAACATTTGGTGCCATCAATAGTTTTTCTGGCCCAGTGTTTATCTCAGGGGACCAAACCAATTTTGCTATTTTCCACGGGCACATTACATTCTTGAAAGCTTGTAAAAAAAACACACACAGACAAACCATATATTTTTAGAAAGCACATAACTTGTAGAATTAAAGGGTAATTCCACTTTCCCTGGTGAGTTTAGGAAAATAGAATTAACACCTCCAATATAGCCCTCTATACCTCCACCCCCCTCCCCTCCCGCAATACTTACCTTTCGGCAAACGCTCCTTCCCCTCTGACAGTCCGGGTGTACTATCCATACCCCATACTGTCATCTAGCGCAGCCCTGCGCTCTGGATTTCAAATTTCACTCGCAAATGGTGAGCACTCATTTGTTCTGTGTGGTCACCTGAGCATGATGACCAATGAGTAGTGTTTCTGACTGTGCTGACCAATGAGTGCTCGCCATTTGTAAGTGAAATTCAAAATTCAGAGCAAAGGGTTGCACTAGACAGCAGTACGGGGTAAAGATAGTATAAGCGCACCAGCGGAAGGGAAGGAGCATTCGCCAAAAGGTAAGTAAATCACGGGGGGAAAAAGGGGGCCAGATTGGAGGGGGTAATTCTATTTTCCAAAACTCACCTGGGAAAGTAGAATTGCCCTTCAAACTATATTACTGTTGCTGCTGACTGTTCTTTGATAATTGTGCAAATGTTTATTAACATATTTTCAATTAAAATGCCCACTAAAAATAATATGGTACAAGTGCAATGAAAGATTTCATAGCACAAATACACGTGACAAATTAAATGCTGCAATAAAACGCCTTTATGCTTAAGCATGTATTGAAGGCCAACACATAAATTTAGTAATTCAAGGAATGTCAGTGCATTAGTTGGAAATATTTGTTAATAAATGGTCCACATCCTAGAACGAATGCTTATGAGCTAAAAAAATAAACTGTCAGAACTGCAGCAGCAGCCCATGACTCAAGAAACTTAAAGCCTCTGACAGAGAATGATGTCACTATGAATACCAGGTATTGTGTGTGTCACATTGGCACTGCCACTCAAAGCCATGAAACTATTCTGCTTGGCAGACTGTGCTGTCAGTACTTCATATGAAAGCAATTAAGTTGTTATTGAGTCTGGAGTGTTGAGAGAAATAATTTCCAGAATACCAAGGCTTAAACAACACTGATTATGATTAATGGCATGGGCAAAAATGAACTACAAGTGCCGCTAACTGGGCAGTTTTTTGCAACCTTTAGGGCTCATTCACATGGCGGTTCCTGGCCATATAGAACAGCATATTTCTGCTGCGGTTATGTTCAGCTGTAGACAGGAAGCTTGTTCAAATCAATGACAGGCTGACAATGTGCATGGCTGTTCGCATGTAATCGGGTGGGTAGCAATGCGGCCAGGGTCAGATGAGTGGCTCTGTGTGAAGACTCTCTGCATTCAGGACCACTTATCTGTCCCTCTCCGCATGTATTTGCTCTATGTGCGAATACATGCAGACAGCTATAGAGCGTCTCAGCCGGTCACTCATTTGTACATGCTGAGCAGCCACAGCTGAATGTAAAAGCCTGGCTGTACGTGCCCCACAAATATGCTTTTTTGGGAATTATATGGCCAGCAACGACCGTGTGAATGAGCGCTTCAATATCATCCATAGTTATTTCATCCATTACCAGAAAGCATGCTAAAGTGCCCTTTATAAATTCAGAAGGAATATTATATGGTCTTTCCACAAAGATACTACAAGGACCTGTGCACAAAAGTTATTTTTCTAGCTTATGACTCCAAAGTTTTTAAGTTATATCATGCTCACATTTGCATTGAAACTGCCTTCCTCTATGTAGATTCTGCACATGCATGACTAAGCATCATGCAAGCAAATATGTATTAAAAGAGAACTATAGCCAAACAATATTTTGGCTTTAGTTCTCTATTGTATCACAGGAGTACATAGCTATTGCCTGCTATACACTCACAGAGTAGAGTCGCACTGCAGCCAGGAAGGATTCTGACAATATTGTTGAGATCTAGCCCTGATTGATACCTGGCTTTGCCTCTCCAAAGCCAGAGCTGGCTGTGCCCACCGACTCCCCTGTCTTTCCCTCCAATGAGCGGTGGAGGAACAAAGAGAGGGGAGTGGTGACTGAGCTATAGACAACCCCCCCCCCCCCCCCCCCCCCCGACCTAAGAACTAAGCAGGATTTTTCAGTCCTGGAATTTCCAGAAAGAGAGCCCACTGGCCCCCTGAGAGCCCACAGAGCCCTCACAGATACTAGTATTGGTGCATCCCTAAATTTTAGCATTGGGGGTCACTACAACTTGGCAAAAGTTACCAAGGGGTCCCGACCCTAGAAAGGTTGAGAACCACTGCTCTAGACTTACACTTGATTTATCAGTGCTTTCCTTCTGAGTATCGGAGTTACTTCCCCCAGCAAGCCTTCACACTAGGGCTTCAACAAATGATTATTTTCATAAGTCGATTAGTTGGCCGATTATTTCTTCGAATAGTCGGATAAAAGAGAATTAAATAAATACCATCTTTTATTTGAAAAAACATATACAAATGCAGTGTTTACTTCAGAATACAACTGCATGCACAATTTTTTGCAATCGCACTGCATTGGAACACACGGCATTGCGTTATCGTGCGTTCCAGTGCAGACGATCCCACTGTGGGTGGGAGTTGCATTTAGGGTGCCATTGAAATGAATAACACTGCAACGCACCTTCCGCAGCAGAATTTTTCAGGCCAAAACCAAAAATGACTTTTTTTTCCCCACCTTTTATAATTTTGTATAAGTGGGCTAAATTAATTTTAGTGTATTTTATCCTAAAAATACTGGTTTGATAAACATTTGCACATATATCATGCAACATAAAAATTACAACTAGCATTTTTTTTTATCAACAGGGCCCCTGCTTTTAGAAAATATATAATTGTTTGGGGAGGTGGGTGGGTGGGTTAACCTGTTTTCTAGCTAAAAATTCAGATTTTATCATATGTGTGCAGAAATTAAGAAACTGCTCCAGACGGCAAGCGATTAAACAATATGCAGATTTATTGTTTTTGACCAAACACATAAACATAAATAACTGTGTAGTTTATACTCACTCGTTCCTGACCAGCAGTATCCCATATCAGAAATTTATGCAGCTCATTCCCACAAGGTACGGTTTTAGTCATAAAAGACGCGCTTAGAAAAAAAAAAAAAAATTACTTTGTAGGTATCACATACATAATTTCTAATGCTTACATGAAGTTCTATTTTAAAGCTTAGGAAATGGTAGATCATAAATTCCACATTTATTTTAGAGTCCTGAAGCTTTTTTCAGGTTTTGGAGCTATATTGGTTTTGGGCCTCTTTACATAATATCCATCTTTTTTTCAGACCACATAGGGCTTTAAATTGGTAGCAGATTTGAATACATAATATAAAGTATATTTGTATATTATTTATTTTAACATGGTAAAAGCTTATAAGTAAATAGTCCCACAGCTATGACATAACTGCAATTTTCACATAATAATGTGGAGTGACAAACCACAAAGTCTTATTTTTAATTTAGGAGGGATTTTTTTTCCTTTCAATGTCAAATTGCAATACATGAAGCAACATGTTTGTGTGAATTATTAGTGTAACTTGAAAGTAAAATTAAATTGTGCTTGGGGGGTGCTATTTTCCCAGATCTGGGATTGCAAATAATCTAAATGATATTATGCACACTTGCGAGATTGTTGATTACTAAATGGTTAGTGCATTTATTAGACATAGCATTCAACATCAAGGACATAAGCAGAGCCATAACAGATTATGTGACTGCTATGAAACCTGGAAATACAGGGACCTGGGGCTTTCTGGCTATACGGTGGTTTATGCAGGTGGCAATAAAAATAAATTGGGAAAAATTAATTGAAAGCTTTAAACCAGTGGTACTCAACCTGTGTAACCTCAGGACCCACATTTGTCCTTGGTCATTAAGTCGCGACCCAAATTGCACTGCAACGGAATGCACAAAATTGTGGTACCACGCGGCTCGAACTGTGGATGGGAGGTCTCCATACCTTAAAAGAACTGGAGTGGATCCTCAGCCTGGGGTCCAGTGCTGTGCTGTGACAGAGCTCCATCCATATGTGCAATGCTTGTACAGCTCCCTTTGCATGCCCTGCAGAGGTACTAGGAGCCAGAATGTGACATTACTCTGGTCCAGGCACTTCTACAGGACACGTGATGGAGCTGTACGTATGGATGCAGCTCCCTCACAGCCATAGCCCCAGCCCATCCCACCTCAAGCTGACACTCGGCAGCATATTTTAAATGGCTGATTGGCACACACAAAATGACAGTGCTGCAAAAGGAGGAGGCTGAGGAGCCTCGCACCTAGAAAAGTGGAAGGCATGTGGCGACCCACTGAACATGGGGTCGCGACCCATTTTTGGGTTACGACCCACCAGTTGAGAACCAAGGCTTTAAACCATATATGGTTGCTATCAAAGCAGTTAACATTCTCTATCACAACAGGAATTGAGATGGAGATTAGACAGTAGGGCAACCAGAGTCTTTGGTGCAAATACCTAAATAATTTAATAACTGATTTGCACATACCAGTGTAGTAACATTGGTATGTGCAAATCAAAATTGTATGTAACAAAGTTAGCCCTTACTCCTGCAAAACAGTTGCAAAGCAGTTTGGTTATTGCACTTTTTACAGTTCTTTTATTATGATCGATAAAGCCCTACCGTCAGTAAAATAGACACACTGTTGTGCATATTACTTACCCAATAGTGGGGCTGATATTATGGTCAAAATGGTCTTGAACAAATCTGCAAACAATGCTTGACTTGCCAACCCCAGTATCCTGCAAATGAAATCATGAAACTAATAAGCTATCGTTAACTTCTAAAACTGAACATTTTATTAATGTAGGAAAAAAACATATGAGGTTACCACCAAATGTGAGGTTATTTTTCAATAGTAACAGTGTTATAAGTGTTTGTTTTATGTTGGGATCAAATTTTAGAAACTAAATGCAACAAATAAAGTCTTCAAAGTCTGACAAGCTTGTATGTCAATGCCTTAGACACCAGAAATATCTCAGTAAAGCAAAAGCAATCAAACAGGAGACTCCAACCCAGGTGAACTACTTTTCTTCTCTAGGGTGTCTCTTGTGGGCTAGGTTACCCCTATACATTACATGACAGTTGCCTGATCTGGCTTTTTTTAGCCTGATTGGGTGACAATGTCATGTCTACCAGCACTTCTAAATGCTATAAGCCAGCCATATCCAGTTATCTTCTCCAATTCGTATCAGGTCTACCACCACATTTGTTTCTTTCCTCTTTTGACCATGTCACTACATAGGAAGCAAAGCTTTTCATTGACACCAACTTCACCTGGACCCCGTTTGCTCACCACTACTTCAATCATCCCCTTGTTCTATCCTACACCTCTTACTCACATCTTTAATCTTTTCCTTTCTACTGGCATCTTACACTCCCCTAAAACATGCACTGGTCAACCCCATACCAGAAAAACCCTCACTGAACTCCACCAACCTGAACAATCTCAGACCAATCTTCTTACTCTCATTCACCTCCAAACTTCTAGAACGCCTAATTTACAACTGCCTAAGCTACCACCTTACTGATAACAACTTTCTTGATGCCTTACAATCTGACTTTAGTCCACAACCCTCCACTGAAACTGCCCTCCTAAAACTCACTAATGACTTACAGACTGCTAAAAACAATGGCCACTATGCCCAACTCTTGTTATTAGGCCTTTCTGCTGCTTTTGACACAGTTGACTGTTGGAAATGCAACAGCATATACTGTTATGTCTTTTTAGCTGTAGATAATGCTGTAGTGCAATGGTAGTCTCCATATGCATGCTTATTGTAAGAAAAGTCCTACGCATGCCCAGTCCAATTAGGGTCCCGTTCGCACCTCTGCGCATGCTCGGAAGCACATTCTTTGGGTCAAAGGTAAACGTGCGCTGTTTCGTAGAAAGGAGGGATCTCTCTGGAACTTGTTTTGTAGAAGGATGCGCACGCTTTCTGCAAAGAGTCGCACAGGAAGTGACATCTGAGGAACCCTATATAAAAGGACATGCTGCACTCTCCCTTTGCTGATTGATATTCAGCTGTTTCTGTGATCCTGTGCTTGTTGTTATCCTGTTGTATTCAGTTGCTGATCCTGTTTGGCTTGACCCTTCTTCTGCCTGCTCCTTGTACCCGCTTGATCCTTGGCTCCAGACCTCTGCTTGTTCCTGACATCGCTCCCGCCACTTGATTTGGTACCTCGTCTGACGATTGGCTTGACGCTGACTTGTGACCACGACTTGGCGTCTGTTCTCCGCTTCTGTACCACGCTTGCATCTGGTGGGCTACAGCCTAAGCACCAGTGCTACCCTGTGCCCTTCTCTCCCTGTCACCACATCCAGGGGAGTTGGACAAGGGACACAATCTCCTCCATTCGGTCTCACCTCAGGTATGCAACACTTATCTATGATACAAAGGACGGAAACCTATAACTAGCTGCAGAGAATTAAATTATATAGGATGCACCATTATCATCCAGCTACACAGATAAATTAACTCATGCTAGCAAAACCAAACACACAGAAAGACAATGTTTACTACAGAACAGTAAAGGAGAGTGGGTGCACAACAAATCACAAAACTCAGTGAGCAACAAGTCAGTTAGTTTGGATTGGTTTAGCTGTTTCTCCATCCGATTGTAAGACTAAAAACCATCAACAGCATCCTTGCTTCCTACACTGTAATAAAATATTTGATTGTGGGTGGAATGGGATTTTTTTTAGTGGTCAGACTGTTATCTAACAATCATCTAAAAGCTTTGAGTATCCCAATGGTGGACCAAAGATGCATAGAACCACAGGGCAGGAAACCATTTTGGGCTTTAATAAACCATCATAAATTCTCCATGCACATGTAACTTGCTGAAATGCAACTATTAGTCAAGGTACAAATTTGCACGACTCTTGCTTCAGGACTTTATCCTCACCCACATGCCCAACAATTTGGCAGGCCTTTGTTTTAGACTGTAATGTTTCTTTATTTCTATTGTAATGACAAATATTGGTTAATGCGTCAAATTCATGTACATGTCAGAAAAGTGTACATGAATTTGTAGCAAAGCCTGGCTTGCTCATACAGTATGTTTAAGTCCAAGCTTTATTGAATACTACAACATTTTTAAGATTTAACTAACGAGTTTAGTGTCACTTTAAGAACTACCTTAATTTGTCACATGTGTTCGTAGTTGGTAATAGTATTAGAACTGTAACAATTATTTTCTGAGTTTGGTGTAGAATATTCTTAGATAGCATTAAAGTGTAAGTTAAGTGATACTTTTAAAAAGGGCTGACAGGAAGGCTTAATAGGAAAGAAGAGGCTGTGTAAGTCCCTTTTGTCATAGATCTTTTTTTGTTTCAGTGCACAGGCTCGGTAAAGTTCCTTGCCGAAACAAAGTAACTCCCATGTGCATGTGCAAGAGTTACCTCATCTGGGCCTGGTTTATTTAAGTTACTGAAGAATTTGAATCTGGAAGAAGACGGGGACAAAGATGAATGCTACTACAAGGGAGGAGCTTTCATTGTAGTGCTGGAGGGGATCGCGTTGGCAGATAAGTCTGCCATAAGGTGCTAATATGCTGTGCATACTAACACATAATGGGCAAAAGCTCCTGGGGCTCTTTTTTGTTTTTGTTTTTTTACTATTGCTTTGTTTTAACACGAAAAGTGTCACAAATGCTATATTAAATGAATATATGGAATATATGGGTCGCAGGGTCTGTGATTAATAACAAACAATCTTAGGCCCCGTTCACACTGAGGCGGTTCGGGCACGGGGATCCGCCAATATGAACGATCTCATAGATTGCTATGGGGAGCATTCATGCGATCGTGCGGCTCAGCGCGATCCGTACCGCCCCCTGCCCAAACTGCTCACTGACCCTGTTTTGCCACGCTGATCAGTGTGGTTTCCATACAGCTTTCAATGGAACCGCATTCAGTGCTGAAACGCAATTAAAAACTCCCTAAAACCTCCCTTTTGAAATTAGCGTGGAAGCTGCGCTGATCCGCATCTGAATGTGCTCTTAGATTGCTGCAATTGTCAACTTCCCACTGCAAGTCTCAGTAACTCTTAAAGCAGGTCACTAGAAAAGCATACTTGAAGAATGCAGACCTTGTGTCATTTTATTAACATTTTGCTTCTACTTCTAGCTTTTCCTTTTCCTGGCAGGAGCAAAGAAGACAGTATTCACAGCACTCTCATATGTAGGTTAAGAAGCTATTTCCCAGATGGAAATGTTATCTGGAAGAATTTCCAGGAAGCACATTATTTGCCTGCATTCTCTGATTGAAACAAGGAGGACAGAGGTTAACAAGGGAAGATGGGGGAGGTGAAACAGACAGAACTTGCCAGGCTTTCACATTGCTCATCCTTTGACTGCTCTGTGGTCTGTTTTGCTTGCCGTTAGCAGCAAAATTGTTTACATCTGATGTTGCAAAATATCCTTTTGTCCAGCCTGCCCTCCAAATTTCTGCACAGAAAACCATGTGTGTCATACAAGACAAACATTGCCATAAACTGTCTCTGGCATTTCCTAATGCCTTTATGCTAGACAAGAGTAAATGTAGAGATGTGAATTGCAAAGGCATGTTTCCTGCCTTTATGTAAACACAAGTATTGATATTGTATGACAAAACAAGAACATTTATCACCTCAAAGTTTCCATATTACAGAAAGGCTAAATGAAACCTTCCAAAAATCAAATAACCAAAAAGCAGTGAGAAAGAGGTTAAAGTGACACTACATTAAAGGAGAACTATGGGGTTAGGGCTTTTCCCCATAGTTCTCCTTAGGGTAACGGGAGGACACAAACTAGCGTCCTCCCGTCACCCTAAGCTCAGTATTCCGCCAGCTACAGCTCGCGGTATACTGAGACGCCGCAGCTGAAGCGGATCCCGACAATTATGTTTGGATCCGCCCAGCTGAGTGAGTGACAGCTGGCTCTGCCTATCTAGAGGCAGAGCCAGCTGTACCCGCCCCCTCCCCCGTCCATTCCGCCAGTCAGCGCTGGAGGATCGGAGAGGGGAGGGGGAATCCAGCCACTCCCCTGTCACGGCAGAGAGCTGTGACAGGATCGAGAAGTGAGCGAACGCCGGTATGTGTTCGATCACTTCCCGATCTACTGAGCCGACCTGTGACAGTGTCATTGTCACAGGTCGGCTAGAACTATGAGGTGAGTGAAAAGCACTCACCTCATAGTTCTCCTTTAAGGAGATAAATCTTAAAAACGCATTCAAGTACCTTAACTATTAACAGAAATGTAGGTTATTTGTGTATCACTCAGCTGTAGATCTTCAAATCATCTCTGAATTGGTGCTGACACTGTCCTTCCTTGTGGAGTGTGACTACTTGTGTTCTCCATGGTCCCTGTGTGTGTTGTAAGGTAGCCACCGCTCCAAGCTCGCTCCTGTGATAGACTACATTTGTATTTAGCTTGTAGCCCATCACAGGAGGGAGCTTGGAGCTGTGGCTGCTTTACAACACACAGGGACACAGTTTTGTTAATAGATAAGGTACTTGAATGCAATTTTAAGATTTAACTCCTGAGTTTAGTGTCACTTTAATAAGAAAGTATCTTTATTTCACTTAGATCAGGGGTGTCAAACTCAATTTCATCATGAGCCGCATCAGCATTATGGTTGCCCTCAAAGGTCCGGTTGTATCTATAAAACGGTATAAATTTATCTACTCTTTATCATATGAAATAATTGCCTCTGCATTCAATTACTACTGGTGTTAATAATAACTTAATAACTAGCTCT